CCCCCCCCCCCCCCCCCCCCTTTTGTGGTCCAACTCTGATATGGTCCACTGTAGATATGGTCCAGATTTGTTTTGGTCCAACTCTGTTATGGTCCACTGTTGTTATGGTCCAACTTTTCTATGATCCATCTATTTTTTGCTCCTACCCTTCTTATGGTCCATTGTTGATATGGCACAGATGGGTTATGGCCCAACTCTGTTTTGTGGTCCAGTTCTGTTATGGTCCTACTTTGTTAAGGTCCAACTCTTTTATTGTCCACCTATAGTTTGGTTCAACACTGTCATTGTCCAACTCTCTTACTGTCCTTTGTGGACCAGAATTGTTATGGTAATTGTCCAACTCTTCTATGGTTCATCTCTTTTTAGGTATAACCCTTTTGTGATCCTTGTCTTCAGTAGATGCCCGTGAGAAATTCATACTGTACACATTTTCTGAGTAGGCATGTTGATATTCAGGGGATATGTGTGGTGCCATGTATGTTGAAGTTGAAGGCTGGGCACCTCTGTCTAGCATGAGCTGATCCATCACAGCATCGCTGACATCCATGGTTATGTTCGCCTTTGCCTTCAAGATCAATAGAGGATCTTTCATTTTGCGTAGATCACAACAAATCGATGAAGTGAATCTGTCCCACTCATCCTGCTCTTGCTGTGCTTGTTGTGCTTCTAGGGCTTCTTCATGTTGCTCATTTTCTCACGTTCAATGGACTAAAGCTCTTCCTCGAGCACCTGGCGTTTGGACAATTTTCGTTTGACTTTCGTAACCTTTGGTGCTGTTGGTCTTTCATCCACAGCTTCTGTTGAAGCTGAAGGTTGCATAGGAGTGCTTGTGATTGATGCTGCACCATCGTCACTTTCTTTTGCATCTGAATACACTGCTTCACTTTCCTCATTATTCATCATCGGTCGTCCCACAAACTGGTCCCGCATGTTTTGGGTTTGTAGTATGGTCACCTGACTGTTGTTTCCCCAATTTCAAAGGCAGGTTGACCACTCTTTGTCTTCGGGAGCTTTGCAGAAATGTCCCTCATCCTGTCCTTTAGGTTCTTCAATTTTTTCTTGCATGCGTCAACGGTGGATCAAATAAGCAGATATGAAGTATTGAGAGTCACAAAATACAAGTATTCACTAGCAATGACAATTAAAACATATTTTTTCTCTTCCAAAGATTTCTTTCCACGGGAATTTCATATCGGGCTTTGGCATTCTCTTTTCGGATTGGGAGGTCAACCGTGGCAAAAATTATCGCAATCATTTGGAAGAAACCTTTATACGAGAAAAAGCCAGCCTAGCAGTCGTGCATTAATTTAATTTAACAGAAAAGTTTCAAACGAAACGCATCTTCCCCAATGTCATTGGAGCATATTAGCATAAGAGCCCCTGCACCGTGTTACAAGTGGTTGCTGATTCAGATGTGAAGTTAGTTGCAGTTGAAGTGGGAGCCTATTGCAAAGAGAGTGACGGCAGAATATTCTCAAGGTCGCAGATGAAGCGCATTCTGGTTGCAAATACCACCCAACTCCCGGGGACTGCACCACCATTACCAGGTTCTGACATTGTCCTTCCATACTTTCTGATTGGAGACTCTGCCTATCCTTTACAACGGATAGGTTCAAACTTGACCTATGAGAGGCGTATTTTCAGCTATCGCCATTCCAGGGCCAGACGCTGCATCGAATGTGCTTTCGGTGTGTTGGCATCAAAGTGGCGTGTCTTGAAAACTGCGATAGAAGCAAAGCTGGAAACAGCTGAAATGATTGTGCTAGCCTCAGTTGCTCTTCACAATGCTATCATCTGGAACAAGTGAGCCTGATATTGAGGAATGGAATGATTCATTCGCAAGAACTGCTGCCGGTTGTTCCCTAAGAAAGACAATTCCAAGGACGCCGAGTTACCATGCTACATGGGTTAGAGACAAACCGGTACAGTACTTTACTGACGCCGGTAGAGTTACCTGACAGGTTAACTATGTTTGAAGCGTGATCACTGAGAAGAAAATATTGAAATGTATTGGTGGTCATGATGATGATGATGGTGATCATGATGATAATGATGATGATAAGGACTTTTTACCAGGTGCTTGGATTTGTGGTGGTGCATACGTATTCACAAACACTATGTCTACAAGTCCGAAAGTTGGCGTGTGCTCTTGATGACTCGTGTCTTAAGTACTTTGTTTCACATGGACAAGATCAGTAAAACAACGTTGCGTCCTGAGTCCCCAAAAGCAGACACTAGAAACGGTACAATGAGTGTTTGTCGAGAAGATCCGTATTAAAAACATTATTCCGCCTTTTGTTGGTGATATTAATTAAGTATCTTTGGGTTTGTGAGTACCTATGTATAACATGTACAATTCTTTAACTTTCTCTATCCTGTATTGGAATTACACTCCCAAGTAATAAAACTTTCACCACTACACCATTCCAAGTAAGGATCTTATAAACACAGTGACCTACGTCATGTTGACCACACTCAAGTTCAGGGTTACAGAGGTTATGAAAGGCAAGATCACTGTGGGCACTCCGGTGGATTGCTCCGAAGCTACGTGCAGTGAATTGCGTAAGCTATCGCGAACTGGATGAGATCGAGTTATTTTTAGACTGCATCTAGATCTATGGGCAGTGTTCAGCAGGTTATGCCGCTTTATCAATATAAACATTTATGTACTACGAAACTCACTCTTAAACGTCGTCGTTGTTTGGGTCAGCCTATAGAGCTCTTTTCGAGCCACCACTTAAAGTGTTATTTAATTACTTGGGTGAAGCACGAGAAATTGTTATGATATAGCCGATGTTGTAGTACGCCACAGACCTATTTTTGACCGATTAGGCTCTGGCTCGGAACTTGTATGTAAAGTTGATTGGTTCTTTCTTTGTCTCTTTGAGGGTGTTGTGCGCAGTGAAATTTTTGGGCAGCAGTGTACCACCGTGCTCTATGGGCCAGCCACCCCTATCATTATGGTCCAACTCCGTTATGGTACATTATGGTTTTGGTCCAACTCTGTTATGGTCAACTCTGCTTGGGTCCATTGTTATGGTCCAACTCTGGTATGGTACAACTTTGCTATAGTACTCTTTTGTGGTAAATTGATATTATTGTTACAGACCAAATATGGTTTGATTCAACACTGTTTGGTCCAACTTTGATATGGTGCATTGTTGATATGGTCCAGATTTGTATGGTACAACACACTTACGGTCCAACTGTTTTATAGTCCAACTCTGTTATGGTGTAACACTGTTATGGTTAAATTCTGCTATGTTCTAACCCTCTTATGGTCCATTGTTGATATGGTCCAAAAGTGTTATAGTCCAATTTTGTTATGGTCCAATACTTTTATGCTTCACTGTTGTTACGGTCCAACTCTGTTATGGTACAACTGTGCTATTACCCATTGTTGATTTGGTCGAACTTTTCAATGGTCCATCTGTTTTGGTCCAACCCTTTTATGGGGCAACTCTGTTATGGTCCAACTCTGTTATGGTCCAACTCTGTTATGGTCCGAGTAAGGTTTGGTTCAAAACTGTTATGGTCCAACTCTGTTATTGTACTTTGTTGTTATGTCCCAACTCTTCTATGCTCCGTCTCTTTTTTTGGTCCAACCCATTTTATTCCTACTCTATTATATTCCGACTTTATTATGGTCCAACTCTGTTATGGTTCATTGTTGATATTGCCCAGATTTGTTATGGTCCAACTATGTTATTGTCTAAGAAAGTGTATGCACGTGCATGTGTGTGTGTGTGTGTGTGTGTGTGTGTGTGT